TTTGGTTTTCTTAAGATTGAGGAGCTATTAGGTTCCTCGGTGAGGAATACCTCGGTCCTTTGCTTTGCATGAGAAAGAAATTCACGCTGAAGCCTGGTTTGTGACCCAGGTGAGTGTTTATAAAGGATAGAAGAAGTTTCAGGTTTTACAGTTAACTGAACACAGGACTGCATCCTTACATGTGGCGACCTGAGCCCCAGAGAGAGAGAAAGAACAACCGCAGCATGGCCAAGCGGAAGGCAGGGGAGCAGCAGGAAAAGAGCCAAAGTGGGTTTTTTTTTACCCTCAAATAGAAACTTGGTACCCTTTAAGCAATACCACCCCACCCCCCACCCCAACCCTTGCTCTCGTCTAACAAGCTTTCTGTCTTTTGGAACTGCCTGCTCTATCTAGATAATTCATATTAGTGGAATCATACAGTAGTTGCTCTTTTGCAGTTGATTTATTTTGTTCAGGAGCCCTGGTGGTTTAATGGTTACACATCCGGCTGCTAACCTCAAGGTCAGCAGTGCAAAACCACCAGTCACTTTTCAAGCAAAAGACGAGGCTTTCAACCCCTGTAAAGAGTTACAGTCTCCGAAACTCACAGGGACAGCTCTCCCCTGTCCTATAGGGTCGCTATGAGGCTATGAATCAGAATTGGCTCAACCACAGTGTGTTGGATTTTTTTCTGGTGGGGGTGGGGTATTTCGCTCAGTGTGGTGTTTGTAAGGTTCATCCTTGTAGCGTTGCTCTTTATGGCACAGCTCACTAATATTCTGTTGTATGTATGTACTGCACATGTACATACTTCACATGTTGACAGACACTTGGGTGGTGTCTACCTTGCAGCTATTGTACTTAGGGCTGCGGTGAACATTGGTGGACACACATCTATTTTAATCCCTGCATTCAATTCTTTGATGCTTATGCCTAGACGTGGCATTGCTAAGACCGGAGGGTATTTTTTACAGGACAGAAGAAAAGTAAAGGACTTAGGTTGCGGATGGGCAGGAAACAGGGCTTGGGATCACCATATGCTAGTGCTCGCTCCACTGGGTGCTCGTCAGGGCCTGCGTGGGACTTTCGCACCTTTGCTGGTACCAGTTAGCTTTCGGCACATTGACCTGTGAGTGACCTACTCAGGCAGGAGTACTAGAGGCCTGGGTTGGTGGACTCAGAAGGTAGTTTCTTGAGAGCTCCACCCTCACCACCCTCACCCTGAATGTGGTAAAGGAGGACCACATCATGTGACCTCATGGGGCAGGGGAGGATGACAGTTATTTGAGTGCATATGTGTAGGCAAGTCCATGAGTTCGTAGTCTCATATGTAGGCCTTTCTGCCCTCCTTTCCTCTCCTCCCTCTTCCCACCCGCTCTCATTCTCTCCTTTCTTACCCTCCTTTTTCTTCCTTCCTTCCTCAGCTTAGGAACCATGGAGTTAATGAAGAATGATACAAAGACGGAACCTGCTTTTAAAAAAAATATCTTCAGACTTATTTATTCTTAATAATTTTATTGGGGGCTCGTACAGCTCTTATCACAATGCATCCATCCATCTATTGTGTCAAGCACATTTGGCCATTTGTTCCCATCATCATTTTCAAAACATTTTCTTTCTACTTGAGCCCTTGGTATCAGCTCATTTCCCCCTCTCCCCTCCCTCATGAACCCGTGATAATTTATAAATTATTATTATTTTGTCATATCTTACACTGACCGCTGTCTCCCTTCACCCACTTTTCTGTTGTCCATTCCCCTGGGAGGGGGTTATTTGTTGATCATTGTGATCGGTTCCCCCTTTCTACCCTCCACTTCCCCTTCCCCTCCTGGTATTGTTACTCTCAATATTGGCCCTGAGGTTTTTATCTGTCCTGGATTCCCTGTGTTTCCAGCTCTTATCTGTACCGGTGTACATGCTCTGGTCTAGCCAGACTTGTAAGGTAGATTTGGGGTCAAGAGAGTGGGGGGGAGGAAGCATTAACGAACTACAGGAAAGTTGTATGTTTCATTGGTACTATACCGTACCCCGAGGAACATGCCTTTTTTTAGAAATAGAAAAACTCCCTTCTTTCTCTCCCAGGACACCTGGCCCAGGGCTAGGCCTGAGGAGTAGACACGTAAAACCTGACTCCCATGTGCTTCTGGGAGAACGTGCAGCTCGGTCTCAAAGTGCACAGCTTACAGAGGGGCTGACCTCAGAGCCGGGGATGTTTTGTTTTTTCCCCCAGGGAATGCACAGAAGGTCTAAGAGGCATGAGTTTTCCCTCTCAGGGTATTCGGCTGTCGTACTAGAAGCTTCTCTTTGGCTGTCTTTCTTTCTTTTGTTTTAACAGTTTAATTGGCCTTTCATCCACATATCATACAATATAATAGTTCAATTATATCAAGAAGAGTTGTATAATTATCACAATCAATTTTAGAACATTTCTTCATTGTGCTTATTGTTATTTATGTAATTTTTAAAAATTATGGCAAAAATATATAAAACAAAACATTCTCTCATTCAACAACTTATATATGTATAATGCACTGCCATTGATTATACCCTCCATGGTGTACAGCCATTGTTGATGATAGCTTTTTCCAAATTATTCTACCATCATTAGCATAAACTCATTAACCCCTAAGCAACAGCTCTTTCTTCTTCACCCATTATAACCACTGGTCAAGTTTAGTTTGGGATTTTTGGGTAGTTTTCTTGATATTATATTCACATCCCATACACTTCCACAGTTTAATGGCTTTCTAAAGGAATTGTATATATAGCATCACAGTCAGTTCTAGTGCTCCCTCCCCCTCTGCTCCTTCCTCCCTCTTGCATTATTTGTTCCCCAATTCCCTTCACCCTCCCACCCCAGTCCTGATAAACCATTATTTCAGTTATTGTCTCTATGCATCCACTCCACCTGTGATTCATAAACTGGGAAACCTAACAGAAAGAATAAAAAACAAAACAGAAACAACAATAATAATATAAAGTTAAAAATAAAGATTAAGAAAGAAAAGACCACCAACAATATTTTAAAAGCCAGAGAAGAAATTTCGGTCATGGAACAAGAAATATTGAGCACAGAGCAAATTCAGGTTGAGTCAAAAGGGAGGTCAACCGACTATGTATCATACCGCAGTTCTATCCACCATATTGAAGTTTATAACAATCTCTGTCTGATAGTAAAGCTGTTTTGAGTCCCTCACTTGTGGCTAGAGGGGATCTGCCTGATGGCTGCCTTTTCTTACTGGGAGAAACCCTTCATCTCCTAGTAGGTTGCTGTACAGTGACTTTTCCAGTAGCTTGCGACAACTGCCCGGTATTCTTGGCTATAGGACTTGGGCCCCAAGGGGGGGAAGCTCAGTTAGGGCGCCTAGGTGTTTTCAGTTGTTGGAAACTAGCCCCGCCCCTTTCCTAGTTGTTGCCAACTTCCTCCTGCGGTTTGGTGTAGAGTGGGTACACTGGCCTCACCTGTGCCCTTTGGACTCTCCCCTGTCCACTTACCCAGGAAGTAAAAAAGGTAGCGAGTTACAGTGAAGCCAACTTGTCAGTTGTGCTAGGTGGCATTTTGGTGACTGCTGGGCTAGGCAAAATTTGCTCGGAGAACCGAGTGGACCTACTTGTGGTCCACGGAATGCTGAGAAGTGAGAACAGTTCCACTTGATGATACTTAGCCAGGGAACAAGGATGCTAATGCTGCCCATCTTCAGATCGAGTAAGCAAAAGTGTTCCTGAAAAGCACACATACAACTTAACCACCGTGGCCTTTTGCAAGTGGACTCTTGAGGGACATTTCGTACAGTCACAATGCTGTGCAGCCTCCATCTCTGGTTGGCAGCTACCAGCCTGCTTTCTGTCTCCATAGAGTGACCTGTTCTCAAGACCTCGTGTCAGTGCAGTCATACAAGACACGAGCCCTTCGGTGTCTGGCCTCTGTCACCGAATGTGATGTTTTCACAGACTAGCTCTGTGGCAGCACGTTTCTATATTAATAGTCCATTGAGCAGCCCTGGTGGTGTGATTACCCATTGGGCTCTGATCCACAAGGTAAACTGTTCAAAACCACCAGCAGCTCTGTGCGAGAAAAGATGGGGCTTTGTACTCCCATAAAGAATTATGGTCTGGGAAACTCACTGGGGCAGTTCTACCCTGTCCTATAGAGTCGCTATGAGTTGGCATCAATTCAATGGCAGTGAGGTGTTTTTGGCTTAATAGTTAATTGAGTGTGTGGACCACATTATTTTTTCACGTGGGCGGTTTCCACCTTGTGGCTCTGTTGGACAGTGCTGGTGCGTCGGTGGACAAGTCTGTTTCAGCATCTGCTTCTAGTTCTTTAAGGCCTCTACCTAGGAGTGGAAGTGAAAGGTTTCTGCCAAGTTGAAGTTGACCATTCTCTTCAGGAAAACCTTTCATTGGCCATTCCCCCTGCCTGGTTCCCAAAGGTGGAGCAGATGGAAACACTCTTACTCAACCTTTCTTTAAATCGGAGAGACCAGGGGTGGCTGGTCTGAAAACACCGGGAATTGGGTCCCTGTCTTCTGTCTGGGGTTCTGCTAGCACAGATGGTTCTGGCACCATTGAAAGCAGGACTCAATGGGCCTAACTGCCTTTGGGTAGCCACTGCTCACCTGTCCCTTCAGCCAACTTGTGACCTGCATTAATGGGGACTCAATGTTGCCAGGTCTTCTGATTGGTTGTGGGTGTGTTTTTTTGTTTGTTTCTTTCCCAGAAAAAGTTATAAATCTGTGAAACCTCCACATTTTAAAATCTTGGAAACTTTCTGAAACATCTTTGGCTTTAAAACACTGGGCCAAACCTCCAGTGGTCAGTGGCTAGAGCTGACTCCTGGCTTCAGGCTAGCAGCCTCTGGAGGAGAGCAGGAAGCCTCTCTCTAGTCATTGGGGGTCCCTCTTGGGGTCTTTCCTCCCTGTCTCCTATTCCCCTGACCCCACATGTAAACATGTTGCTGCCAGCCCCACCCCTACCACCACCCCCACCCCTTGTCTCACACCTTCTCTTCCTTTCCTCAGATCACCTCTCCGATCTCCAGGGCCGAGCAGAGGGGGATCCTGGAGTCGCCTGGGACTTTTACAGCAGTTCGGTGTTGGGTAAGCTTGCAGTGGGTTTCTTCCACCCTGGACTGTGTGGCACAAAACTGTGGGTTGCTTTAGGTTGTACTGATCCAATCCTAGCCCATCCACTCCCAGTGGCAGGACTCACTACCTAATCCAGGAGACACACCACTGATTGAACCAAGCCTTCCCTCATGAGCTCTAGCCCTCTCCCACTCCCCACCTGGAGTGTTACTTGGTTTTTGCTTTCTACTTCTTTCTTTTAAGAGCCCTTTCTTCACCCTTACTTTGCTTTAATCAGAAGCCCAAAGGACCAACCCCTCATCCTGCGGCTGCCAGTCCCTCCTTACTCTGCCTGTACAATGCACACAGAGTGTCCAAGCTTCTTGCTTGGAGACTTTCAGCCTCTGGCCCCCACTTTGCTTTCTTGGTATCCTGGTGGTACAGTGGTTACATACACCTTGGGCCTGCAAGGTTAGCAGTTTGAAACTAGCAGCTACCCTAAGGAAGAGAGACAAAGCTTTCTGCTTCCCATGAAGGTTTACAGTCTTAGAAACCCTCAGGGGTAGTTTTATTCTGTCCTGTCGGGTTGCTAGGAGTCAGAATTGATGATGGCAGTGCGGTTTTTTATTTGGTTGGTTTTGGTTATCTGGCATTCGCAAGTTGAAGATTGGGGGAAGCATGTGCCCCCAAGCTTGGAGTGAGCTGGAGAAAGAGAAGGTTGGGATGAAATGAAATAGGTCACACCCAGACATGTATGGTGGGGTGGGGGAAAGCCCCATCTTAGACCCTTCCAGCAGGCAGTGGGACAGTTTGGGAAGGCGTCAGAAAGGGTGTTCAGACCTGGCCTTTGACTGTTCACAGTCACTCTTTGCCATCTAAGTAGCTCATCCCTTACATGCCCTTGCTTTTTGGAGGGAGGAGTAGAATGGATGTTCTGGCCACTGACTAACTTTCTTCCGAGATGAGACTCAATGAAACTTGACCCTAGACAAGGGTCTTTGTGCTTAGTGGCGGTTATCTCCATCAGCCACCTGCACATACACTGTTGTATCTCATGGTGACACGGCATCTATGGTGTTTGAATCGGCCATTTGCTGTCCTTACAGAGGAAAAAGGTGGCTTTGCCTGCGACCTCCTGCATAATCCTCCGGGGAATTCTGACCAAGAAGGAGATGATGTGGAAGAGGATGATTTCATGTTTGAATTCTCAGACAAGCCTCTTCTCCCTTGCTACAATCTCCAAGTATCAGTGTCCCGTGGGTAAGTGTCTGAGAAATCTATGGGGACTGAGCATCAAGATCCTGGCAACCCCAGACTGCCTCCCTCTCCAAGGAAGGGTGGCGCTCTCCCAGCAGGAGCTGAGACCTGGAGAAAGGAGCTCGTGAACATGACCTATGACCGAGGCCAGCTGGACCTTCCGCCTTGGTTACCTGCCCTCCCATTAGGGTCTGTAGGCTCCAGGTCGGTTGCTCCATTGGGTTTCCAGGACCAAACAGTGAGAATCCATTCTCAAGGCACGGGTAATTGGTGGCGGTCCTGCACGTAAGAGATGAGCTTGGGAGATAGGTGGACTGATGAACTATTTAGACTCTTTGGAACATTTTTGCGGTTTCTGGGGACAGCCAGACAGAATATTTGAAATTGAGAGTCTTGGAAAAACCAAGACATACGGCTGCCATAGCTGGGGGCTCCTTGGGTTCTTAAGTACGCCACCACCTGGGTCCTTGGAGCCTGAAGTGTGGCGAGATGATGGCATCTGCACTATCATCTCTGCTCATCATGTGTCATGTGACAGGGTGACCCATTTTAGGAGACATTTTAAAGGAGACGGAAGCCGCTTTCCTTTCTGTCCGATGACTCGAAAGGAAGTCGGACAGCGTGGAGGACCATGGTTCCCGTCACATGCTCATCGTGTGGGGCCACGCTAGGGAAGCACGCTGGCTGGCTTTTCTGCTCATGCTTCGTGTCCGTATAAAATACTCTTTCACCTGCGTCTTCGCGTATGGCAAATGCCTTTGCACTCAATTGTAAAAATTGTTCTTTGATATCCAGTGGAAAAGATATTGGATCCCTTTTTTTTTGGTCATGAAGGGCACATTGCTGGGAGGTGGAAGATGGGTAAGACCTCAGTTTAAAACTCTGACCACTCCACCATGGTTTCTTTGCCCCTCTCCCTGCCATGACCTGATAAGAATAAAAATAGCCTTTATGATGACACCAGGAGGGGTCAAGTTTCAGGGGTTTTGGGGTCCTTATTCTTCTGGACATAAGCTGATCCGTGTGGGTGGGGGAGGGCCTCAGGGATATAGTATTGCACAGTTAATTAATTCCTCCAAAGTACTCAGCATCGGCTTGTCTGAAACAGGATATCAGGCCCTGGGCAGTAAAGGGACCAGGGCAGTTGGCTTTAGGTGCAGGCAGCCCTCAGGGCCACCACGGGCTGCATGTTGTCACCCCACGAGTGGAGGAAGTACTCATTCAGCAGAGTGGACTCGTGAAGCCAGCTTGCAGGTTTTCTGACATGACAGTCTGTCTTGAGGCTGCCCTTCCCCACAGCTGCGGCAGGATGGGAACATGTATGTTCTTGAAACGGGGCGGGGGCGGGGGCCAGGAGTCGGGAGAGAATGACGCCTCTGAGGCCCCGTGGAGTGCGGCAGTGCCTTGCAAGTCAACAAAGCTAGGCTTCTGTGTATGATTTGCAGTGGCGGTGGATGTAGTTTCTGTTGCTTTGAAAGCGATGGTCCAGGTCGATGGTACTGGTGATCCCTTGCCACGAATGAAGGCGTCATGGTTATGTGTCGGACTGCTCACCACAATATCAGCAGTTTGAAACCACCAGCCACTTCATGGGAGAAAGATGAAGTTTTCTACTCCCCTAAAGAAAGAACTGAAAAAAAAAAGAAAGAAAGAAATGCAGGGGAGGGGGCTGGGGAACTGCAGTCTCAGAGACCCAAAGGGCCAGTTTGACTCTATCCTATAGGGTCACTATGGGCTAGAACCAACCCAATGGCAGTGAGTTTGGTTGTCCCCACCCCCCTTCTCAAACCATGATCTCAGGTAGCATACTGGGTTATGAATTGAACTGCTAATCACAAAGTTGGCAGTTCCAAACCACCACACCTGTAAAGAGTTAAAGTCTCAGAAATGTAGGGGCAGTTCCACCTTGTCATATAGGGCCACTAGGACTCAATGGCAATGAGTTGCCTTAACTCTGGTGGCACTGTGAGGTAAGAGTTGGACTGCTAACCACAAGGTCAGCAGTTCACATCCACCAGCCCATGTGCAGGAGAAAGATGAGGCTGAGGATATCTGCTCCCGTAAAGAGTAATACCTCCACAAACCCTGTTTAGAGTTGCTTTGCGTTGGACTCTGCTCCATAGGCACGGGCTTTCTTCTGGTTATTGGTTCTCTTAACCCACAACACTTGATTCCCTGGTGATTTGAGATGACAAAGGTTGCCATCACTTGGGAGAAATGGCACATTGTAAGGCTAAGGAGTGTGGGGCTCAGGTGAAGTTTCAGGTGCAACACAGAGGGTTATGTCCGGTGAACAAGTCTTCAGCAGCCTCACCAGTTCAGGCTGCCCCAAGGAGCAGAACCCAGCTCGGGCGTCGACGAGCCCACAGCCGTCTAGTAGGGGAGACAGACCCGTGTACAGTTAACTCTAGTACAACCCACAATGTTCTGTGTTCTACAGAGATTTGTAGGAAAGTAATATGTGCTCCTTGTGAAAAACAAAGCGAGGCGGTACAGAAGGGAGGCGTGAGGGGGAGTGAAAGCCACACTTCACCTGTGACACACAGGAACCCCGGCTCAAGTTGCTTGGCATCCTTGCAGAAATGGGTTCTGGCATATTTACAACAGGCTGTGAGGCAAGTGCCAGGAGCCCATAGAAGGTGGCATGAGCCCTTGGCTACATTAAGGCCTCACAGGTGACACAGCATCTGAACTAGGCCCGAAAGGAGGTGATGGCACAGGCAAAGGCATTGGGGGTGCGTATATTCTGAAAACAGTGCGTGGTCTTCAATCAAATGGCTGGCGCATGACGGGGTGAGGGGTTGTGTGTGTGTGAGAGAGAGAGAGAGAGTGAGGGGGTAAGGTGGAGATTGAGCTGAAGAAGTCTAATGGAGTCACGTATGGGAGATCTTGTATCATAAGAAGCTAAAGAATTTGGAGATTTTCTGGAAGCACTGGGGAACCATTGAAAGCTACAGAGAGAGGGAGGGTGGAAGAGGGTCTGCTTTTCTTTGTAAGAAACTCCGAGTAACAGAGAGGATCCAGCGAGGGTAGGTGGGAGGTGCACATGAGTGATTGTTGGCAGAGGGCAGCCAGTGAGGAGGCTGATGCAATGTACTGAAGCCAGAGTGGCAGCAGCTGGAACGGGGGTGAGGCCTACCAGGAGGGAAACCCTGAGGAGGGGGAGCACTGGTGTGGGGATGTGGCACTTGGCCCCTACCGTGGCCTCCCCGTCACCCGTCCTGGCTGCTGCCTAGTCGGGTACACGCCGCGCAGTCAGCCTGTAATGTGAGCCTCCGGCCTGCAGAAACCATGGTGCTGCCTGTGCCTCCGCTGGAGAAAAAACTTGTCTAATGCATTCCAGAGCCCCAGAGAAAGGCCTTTGGCTTACCCGCAGTATAGGCCTTTCTCCACGGCTCCCCGTGGAGAAAGAGGAGGCAAGGGAAGCAGGAGTGAGAACAGGAAAGTGTGAGCAAGCCAGACTTGGCAGGGCTGGGGGCGCCAGCAGATGGTTAATGCCAGGTGACGTCCTGGGGAAGCCGGCAAAGAGGTGCCGCTTCTGGAAGGCTCATGCCAACTCGGCATTTCCTCCCACGCCCTCTCTTTCAGAACAGACCCCTCCATAGGTTCAGTGCTGGCCATTTGGGGTGAAGCTGGGCCAGGGCTCTGAAGAAAATAGTCACTTAAGCTTCCCGGAAGGAGGTGCCCTGGTAGCTCAGTGGTTAAAGCACTTGGCTGCATACCAAGAGACTGGTAGTGCCCATGAGCGACTCCTGGGGAGGAAGATGCAGTCATATGCTACCCTAAAGAGTTAAAGCTCACTGCCATGGAGCCGCTGCGGGCTCCTAGTGCCCCCATAAGACAGGGTAAGTGCCCCTGTGAGCTTCGGAGACTAACTCTACAGGACTAGAAAGTCCTGTCTTTCTCCCGAAGGGGCATCTAGAAGTTTCGAGCTGCTGACATTTGCCATTAACAGCCCAGCGTGCAAGCACTGTGACACCGGGGACAGTTCCTTTCCATCCTCCAAGGTTGCCAAAAGTTGGAGTCAACTTAATGGCAGCAGGTTTGGTTGAGTGACATCCAGAGCCTGTGGTTCGCTTGAGGGGTTGGGGGTGGCCCGGCCACTATGGTGGCCTACCAGCCTGCCCTTCAGCCCCCTTTTCCTAATACCCCTTCTTGCTTTTTCAGGCCCTGCAACTGGTTCCTTTATTCCGACGTCCTGAAGAGGCTGAAGCTTTCCTCCAGGATCTTTCAGGCTCGATTCCCGCACTTTGAAATTGCCACTTTGCCCAAGGCTGAGTTCCACCGGCAGGTGGCCTCAAGTCAGCTGCTGGCCCCAGCTGAGCAGCCTGGAGGCCCGGGAGAGTCCCCCTCCCCACCAGGCTCCTCTGAGACTGTGGAGCTGGTGCCCTATGAGCCTGAGCTGCTGCGGCTCCTGGGCTCTGAGGTGGAATTCCAGTCCTGGGCCAGTTGACTGGGAAGGCCCCTTCCTTTTCTGCTCTCTCCTCCCAAGCCTTTCCCTATCTCCACCTCCTGTGTCTCTCCCCACCCCCACCCCCTCGCCACCAAGCACCAGACTGCAGAAAGAGGCAATAACACAGACCAACCAAGACGCCGCCTTATCAAATGCCAGCACTCGTGACTGGATTTTTTTGAGGGGGGGTGGGGGCTCCGATTAGTTCTCATCTCCCCGTCATTGTCATTGTTGCCATGGTTGGTCGTTAGGAAGGGTGAACCCCACGTCTGAGGACCAGAAGTCCCCAGGGGTGGTGGCAGGTGGCACTGAGGTCCAGTGGTCTAGCTGGCCTCCCCGTGGGTTGCTAGGACCCAGCCTGGGCCTTCGGGTGGCCAAAGCCTGTCCTGAGGAGAAATGAGAAAAACCCACTCTGAGCGCGCCCTCCGTGCCCCTGTGTTCTTCTGTCTTTCATAGTATTTATTTTATTAGTATTTAATTTGTATTGTTTCATTGGTTTCTGATAAGTCTGTATCACTGTGATGGTTTGAGACAACTCGTTGTGTTGAGGGACTTTCTTCCCCTCCTTTTCTGTTTCTCGGGAGCTGCTCCTTCTTCCCTCCGACAAAGTGACTGTGTCGAGGGCGGGGCGGGGAGTGCACGGAGTGTGAAGAATGAAGCTAACTGGTATTGGCCCAGGGCTAGAGGGTTGGGGGTCAACAAACCCCTAGGCTTTGGTGCTTCCCCCCACCACCACCACACACACAGAGGTTTTGTTTCTCTTTGCCCCTCCCCTGTTTGCTACAGTCCTGCTATCTTCAGACACCTGCTCACCAGGGGCAGGGAAGATGGTAGGGTGAGAGATTAATGAGTCACTACAGTAAAAGAAGTGTGCAGAGTGGGACTGATGGCTAAGGCGCCCCCTCTTCACTGGCCCCTCCCCTCAGAGTACACAATATGGGTTTCTTCCCACATCTTTTGCCTTGCAGCACCCCCTCAGCCTCCCTCTTCAGTCTAGCCCTACCCTCTCTAGAGACAGAGCTTCTGCAGGGTTCACCCCTGCCCAGCCAAGCAGCACCCTCTCCCTTCTCTCCTCCCTCCGCCCCTGGTTCCTTTGGAATCTGCAAATCGCTTAGGGACTGACTGCCAGATGGAAACTCCAGGCTAGGCAGGAGATAGAGCTCCAGGCTGGGCTCCATTCCTGCCGGCCCCCCCAGGCCTCCAGCGTGGGGCTTGTTCAGGGAGAGAGACTACGCAGTCGTGCGCGCATGCACGTACACGCAGGAGCTCACGTTTCCCACCCCTTCTGTGGCATTAGTTTCTCCCCTCTTGCTCTTATTTTTCTGTCAATTGCTATTTTTCCAAACAATCCTGGTAGAAAGAGTATGTGCCATCCAATGGCAAAAGGGCCTTTCTGTGGCCGGCTCTGGTTGGAGGTGGTACAGTTTTATTGTACAGGTGCTAAAACAACAACAACAGAGGAAGAAGAAGAAGAAGAAAATGGAGTAGGAAAATCAAACCAAACAAACAATCTGTTCTCTGGAAGGCTCCTGGCCCATTGCGGGAGCCTCGGTGGTTCTTTTCTTTGTATTGTGTTTGTTCTTTGTTCTTAGGGGGGTGTTACAGACCCCCTTCTGTAGGACTGCTCCCACCCCCACCATACTGCCCAGTTGGTTTTGAACAGTTGTTCTCCCTTTTTAAAAAAACAAACAAAAAAACAACAAAACAACAGACAAAAAAAGACAAAAACAAAAAAACGACAAAAATATATATCTATATAAAGTTGAGGGTTTTGGCACTTGGATTTTTTGGGTTGTGTTTTGGTTGTGGTATTGTGTGGTTTCTTTGATATCTGCTTTTACTCTTTTGCATTGGGGTGTGTATTCTGGCTGCCCTGGATGTTTCCTTTGTGGGTTTTTTGGGGAGGCCGGGGGGGGGGGTGTGTGTTCAGTTTGGTTCTTGTTTTTTAAGCAACAGGCTGTGGACTCAAAAACATTTGCAAAACCGAAAACCTGGCTCAGGCCTTCTGTCTGCTGTCTTTCTCCTCACACTTGTCCCGTGTAGCTTTCCCTTGGGGACCATGAAGGTGGGCATGCCCACTGAGTCACTGGGGTGCGGTGAATGAAACAGGTGGAGTAGTGGCTAGTGGAGATTGGGGTCACTGGGTCCAACTCTGGATGGAAAAAGAAAACCAGGGGCCCATCCCGCATGCCATGGGTCTGCCTGCACTCTGATGTGACATGTAGTGTGACTCTTTTCAGCAGCAAGAGGCACGAATAAGCAAGGAAAATCACCTGCTAGTCATGTCTCTTGCCTGCCAGGGACTGCCCACGCTGGGTCAGCCTTCCACTGCTGTGATTTTCTGAGCACCAGCTGTTGTGAAGCTCAGAAGTTCATCAAAGATCTTAGGAGTTGCTGAAAACTGTGCTAGGAGCTATGGTTCCTTCTGATTCCAAGAGCGAATGTTGGGCTAGACCATGATAAGGCCCCTTTAAGTTCTATTCCTGGGGCCTGTGCCCGTGACCATAGTCTCTGGAGAGCCTGGAACAGCGCGTGTAGAAGGGAGGGCTGCTAGCATCAAAACAAAGCTGAACCCATCCAAACAAAACTCAAATCTGTTGTCATCAAGTTGATTCCCACTCATAGAGACCCTGTGGGACAGAGGAGACACCCCCCACTCCCACACATCACATTGCCAAGGCTGTGAGTCTTGACTGAGGTGAACGCATTTTCCTCTCCTGAACAGCTGACGATTTCAAACTGTTGACAGCCCAACACGTGATCATTGTGGCAGCAGCACTCCATGACGAGCTTTTAGCCATCTCTGGTCTCACTGCGCCAGCCCCAGGAACTGGCCTGCATCCAGACCTGACTTCTTGGGCCTGGGACATTATCCCCTCTGCCGTGGCATTGCCCCCACCTCCTCACCCCCAATTCTGATTTCAAGACCTGACTAACTGCTTCGCGAACATCCCCTTTATAGTTCTGATTCAGGTCCATCCTCTGCTGGGAACATTCAGTGAAGTACCGATGGTGCGATAGGCCATAAGAGCAGTGTGGTTCTGGGTTTCCATTGGGCTCATGATGCTCTAGGCCTTCCGAAGGCTGGGCCTCAGCCTAGAATGGGTGACCAGGGAAAGCTTTCTGAGAGAGGTGATGCTCAGTAAGTAGAATTAGGGGAGGCAGATAAGACCTGGGGACAATCTGAGCAAACAATACTGAGCGAGGAAGCGGGAGCCCTGCAGGCCAGGTGAAGACCAGGCAGGGACCTTTGTCTACGGCATTGGGAACCAGGGGGAGATTTAAAACTTGAGTAGTGAAAGAAGTCGACGGTTTTTTGGTTTGCTTTATTGTTTTAATAAATTGGTAGAAATGTGTTGGGTTGGGGCAGACAGGGAGAAGAAGGAGAATTATCATTCAGTCCTTTGAGAGAAGAGAGGATGGAGGGGAGGGGGATGCTGTGGGCAAAGTCACAACCCCTCAAAGAAGTGGCTTGGCCATGCTTTGGCAAGACTGGCCATCTAAACCAGCCCCGTTTGTCCGTAGCCCTTGATGTGAGTTCTAAGTAGTTTCAAGTTTCCTTGCCTTGGGGCTCCTTCAACTGCACTTGCTCAGAGTCTGCTGTCTGACCAGAGAACAGGGCGAGAAAATGGCCCTGCTTGGCTGGATTGGGTGAGAAGTGAATCTTTCCAGAGCCATATTTGCTCCTGCCTAACAAGATTCCATTTATGCATCAAAAACAATCCTGCAGAGGATGGGATGGGTGCCTTGCTCATGCGCAGTTGTTGCTGCTGCAGAAGTGAGGTCATACCTACCTAAGGAGGAGCCCTTCACTTACACGTTGGTCTGCGAACCTCAAAGTTAGCAGTACGAAACCACCAGCTGCTCAGCACAGCAGCATAGGCTGTTTAACTCTGCTCTATAGGGTCACTGTGAGTCTGAATCAACTCGATGGCAGTGAACGACCCTCCTAAAAGGAGCCCCGATGGCGCCGAGCATGAAACGCTCAACTGCAGCTAATGGGAAAGTCTTCCCTTGGAACGCACCAGCACCTTGGTGGGAAAAGATGCTGTTTGTGGCGGGCGATCGGCACCCTTAAGGATAATGGCATCAGAAATCTGAAAGGGTCATTCCACTCTGCCCTATAGGGTCTCTGAGTTCACTTACATAGGGCATTGAGCCTATAGAAGCCTACCAAGAATGTTCTCTGGGGGAGGGGGCTGACAAGAAGGCCCCACACAACTCTGAATTCTCTGAGAAAGGCCTAGCTCCTTAACTCCACACCCCTTGTTAGCATCAGCCCCTGAGAACCCTGGGGAACCTAGGTCGACTGCCACACACACGGGGTTGGCCGACTCCATCCACTGAGCTGGGGTCTGTAGGGCTTGAATTGGGCACTCTGCCACCGTTTTCATTGTGTCCGGCCGCTACTCTGGCAAGTATGTGTGTAGTGGTGGGTTTGCCGCATCTATTGAGCGGCGTCAGTTCCTCAGCCTGCTGGGGTGGGGGTGGGGGGTCGGGCGTGGCCGGCGCCTTCAGGGGCTCCTGCAGCTCGCAGCTGGGCCCTTTGCTTTGAACGGAAGCAGCGGGCACCAGGTTCCCGCTCGGATTTCAGGTGGGACGCGGCCTACGTGAAGATGTCCCCTTGCGAGAGTAAAGCCCAGGGCAGGGCGGCTGGGGCGCAGCCTTGGGCCCTGGGAAGGGCGGGCGCCTGAGCCAGCGCCGCGGGCTCACCTGCCAGGTGGGGCGGGGCAGGCACGACTGGCCAATGAAGAGAGGTCATTCAACCCATCGCCACATTCCCCGGGAGAGCGGTCCCGGCAGCTGATGGACAGACGGTTGGGGGCGCTGACACATAACAGAGGGACGGGAAGCGGCCGGCTGGCTCCGCGGGGAGCCACAGGCCCCGCCTCTCTTCCTGGGCTCCCAAGATCGCCCGCCCGCTGTCGCCGGCTCGACAACGCCACCTGCTGGGCTCCGACCTCCACACTCAGCCAACGCTCTGGGAAGCTGCGTCCCTGCTGGGAAGGAGCGCACCACCTTGGGTCCAGCTGCCTTGGCCTCTTCTTATACCTGATGGGGGTTAGAAAAGTCGCCCCCTCCTGGGACCTGACAGTCCCACCACTCAGCCCCGCCCAGGGTTGAGGAAATAGTGGCGAGGCAGGCCCAGGAAGGGGTGGGGTGGGGTTGGCCAGCTGTGTGGTGAAAGGGAAGCACAGCTAGAAGCAGCCTTCCTGTCTTCCTGGACCCTCTTGCCCGAGAGGAGGCTATTGACATGGGCAAAGGAAGCAAATGGGTGATGATGTTATAACTAAAACAAAAACATCAAAATATAACACACCCCAACTACCTTCGAGCATTCCAACTCAAAATGATGTCCCACCCCCCCACCCCCCACCCGGGACAAGTTTCCAAAACTGTACGGAAGCAAGCAGCCTCCTCTTTCTCTCGAAGAACACTGATGGAGTTGAACCACTGAACTTGTGTGCTGATCCTGCAGTGCCACCAGGGCTCCTTTCGTGAGGGCTTCAAGAGCTGGCCTAGCTTGTCCAACTCCCACCATTCATAGCTGCCATAGCACAGAGCTGGTATCCCCAAATTAGACAGGACTCCTCCATTCTTTCCCTAAACATCTGTTGAGCCCCTTGCTAGATGCTTGGTGGGGAGCCAGCAGTGATAAGAGACAGGGAAAGCTGGCTGAGGGGGCCGGAGGGAGGAGTGCTCACTAGCTGCTAGAGGGGGGAGGGTGACACTGTGGCAAAGGCAGGGACCTGGTTGCCACATGACCCCTGTTTGGATGAACCTGACTCCTGAGGTTCTCTCGAGCCCCTTACCACAATTAGGTCAGCACAGGCTCCTGGACCAGGTTGGTGAGCTTAAATTAACACCCCCAATAGGAAAGAAACTGGCCAGGAAAGTCTCTTCCGGCCAGAGGACGTGCCAAGTAGGAGAGAGTCTTGGGAGCTCTGGCTGAGGGGTGAGGGTATCCAGAGGGCCAGAAGGGTATCCGGAAGGTCCAGCCCTGGGCAGTGTCGCCTGAGGAGAGTGCCTGTGATGGCAGGAAGTCAGAGGTCACCTCTCTGAGTTTGGGTTCCTCTTTCATCAACTCGCTCACAGAATGCTGTGTCCAGTTTTGCACGTGACACAGTCCCCCGGACCCTCAGGAACTAACAAATGAATGGGGAGACTAAGATACAGGAGCCCTGGTGGCATAGTGGTTATGCATTGGGCTGCTAACCTCAAGGTCTGCGGTTGGAAACTACTTAGCCTCTTCTCTCAAGAAAGATGAGGCTTTCTACTTCCTTGAAAAGTTTGTCCGGAAAACTCACAGGGGCAGTTCTACCTTGTCTTACTGGGTCGCTATGAGTAGGGCAATCCTCGATGGCATTGTTCGGTTTTCATTTTCAATAGGTTCAAGCCAGGGAAGCTTTCAGTGACTGTGATTCGAAAAGAGGTGACATCAAAGGCTGGCCATGGTCCATTCCAGAGTGGAGATTGCTCTTAGTTCAAAATCGAGAAACCCACCCCCCTTAAGGCTGGCATGGTGAGACAACTACCGTGAGTTGTCTTGAATGATAGCTCGGATTTGATTTCGTGGGTACTAGAGGAGAACGACTGCTAACCTCAAGGTTGCTAGTTTGATTTTACCCAGAAGCACCTCGGGAGCAAGGCCAGCTGAGTGGGGTGAGCGCCAGGCCTGTCCACTCCACTGGGCACCACTGGGTGGCGCACTCAGGTGGAAGGCACAGTGGGAAAGGGCCTTGAAGGGCAGGCTCAGGACTCTGGCCTTTGTCTGAAGGCAGGACTGATACTGAACTTGAAACACTGCCAGAACCACTGCCTCCCTGTCTCCAACATTGTCACCTCCAGAACCCAACAACCGAAGTGTGCGACCACCTTGGTCAGCTTGGAAGTGTTTTGAGTATCTCTCCTACCAGTGGGCAGTGAAGGGCCGTTAGTGACCTGGCTGATCAGAGGAAGCGCTACAGCTTATGCTGCAGGCCCTCGGTATGCCTGGGGAAGCCGGCGAGGTAAGCTTGGTGCCGGGGATGTGGAAGAAAGGCCAGATTTCCGAGATGGAGGGTTTGGCTCAGCTCTTTCAAGGTTGGAAGCTCAGGGAAATGTTTCTCGCTTGTTTGGGGAAGGTTTTGTGTGTGTGCACAACTACAGAAAGCCACTGAGGTAGAAATGGCTGGGAGCCCACTGGACCTGAGAGCCAGGAGCTTAGGAGGAAAGGGGGTGGTGGTGGTGTTCTTGATTCATCTCCAGTGTGCTCAGCTGGAGCCACGAGAACCAACACAGAAGATGGGGCTAGTGCAGACGCAAGGGAAGGGGGATTCAAGTCACGTGCTGTCAGTACCCATAGGGGCCCAGGGCTGTGAAAAAGACATTGGATTTGACCGTAAGGGTATGGATGGCCTTTGAATGACCACTTTGGGGGGTGGGGGGAGGTGATAGATGCCATATGTGATCTATCGGAGGGGGGGGCAGAGTCATCGGAACACATGCAGTGCATGTGTTCCTATTTTGTAAGGGTGACTCCCTTCTCAAGAGAAATTACTTTCAACCACCAGGAAATTGTAACGCACTGATTTTTATTAGAAAAAGACAATTTAATGCCATCTGCTGGAAACACGTAGTAAATACAACTGCAAAAACTTGGGTGGTTCCCTCCTGGAGAACTGAGGAGGGGTTGGAGTAGGAAGAAAACTGGGAGAGGAAGGCAAAGAGCAACTGGGGGAGGTAGTTAGGTCAAGTGCATGACTTTGTACCAAGGACGTAGTAACGGTCCTAAGGCACGGATTCACACCAACCAAAATCACCAGAAACACGTGGCTAGATCCGAGGCTGACACTTCGTAGCCTGGCCCTCAAACTTGGCGGGAGAGGCAGGCTGACACAAGGAGGGGGGAGGGGACCCAGGCCCTCAGCTCAGGCTCAGAGATCAACTTTTGAAGAGAATAGGACGGAGCGACTGGAGATGGGCTAGGCAACCTCGGGAGCACCTGCCTTCTTGTGAGGGGTGCAGATTCTGGGCAGCAGGCTCCCGCAGATGGTCTATGGGAACCCTGCCTCTGCCCGGGGCAATGGACCCTCGCTACGGGGCTGGGCAGCTGAGCAATACCAGGGTAAAATGAGTCCAGAGCTCCAGAGCTGGAGAAGACGGGGTAGCAGGGGGAAAGGAGTCAGGGAAGTGGTGGGCATGGGGCCAAGTGAGGCCCCCACGCCCTACAGAAGGCTGCGAACCTGGTGTCACCCCTTCGGCTCTCAGCAGGAGGCCCTTGCGGCATCCAGGACCAAGGCTGGAGGCCAGGTACTGAAGAAGGCAGTTGTCCTGTGGAGGGACTGATGTGACTGGCTTTGTGGCCTGGTGACGGTGGCAAACTCTAGGACAGGGGGTGACGCTGGCTTGTACTGGAAGCTGCCTAGAACTAAGTCTCGCCCCACCCCCATCCCCCACTGGCCTTCAGGGTTTTACACCACTGGACTTTCTGGTCCTTTCCAACTGCATCCCCTCACCGGCCACGGTGCAGCTCGCCTTATGTGGCCTGTGCCTGCTGTGGTATCACTCTCGATCTGAGGTTCCCTAGAATGCCGGAGCAACTGCCTCTCAGTTTATACCAAGGCAAGGATAGCATGCTTTTCTCTTAAAAAAAAAAAAAAAGTCCCCATGTCTGTGGCTGACCTATGTCTGTGGAAAGACACATACCCTTGAAGACCTCACAGCTATAACTCTGATCTTCCCGAAGAAACTAAGGTACAGACAAAAACACACACATACATACAGAGATATTCACATATGGGACAGCCAATTCCCCTGATGCATCACACCAGCCTGACCGGGACGGGGGGAGATGGGGTGGAGGGTGGAGGACGGTGGTTTCCGCCCATCCCCACCAAGTCAGGCCAGTTATCCTGACAAGGCTGAGCCGCTTGATGCTACGCAGGTCATCGCTGGGCAGGGGTTGGCCAGGGCCAACCCAGGCCGGAGTGGGGGGCAAAATGGAAGGGCAGGGCACCCTGCTCAAGTCAGTCTCCCCTAAAGGAAGACCATTCAAAACAACACTGCCCAATTTGGCCTAAGCAACCCCACTTCCGCCGACTCCCTTGGCCTTATATGTCATGAGGCCCCATCTTAATGAGGGAAGTGGGGTTAAATGGAACGAAGGAGCCTGAGGTGGGGGATCTGGTCAGCAGGCTCGCAGACGAGGTCACGCTAGGCTCAGAGGAGAGCTCAAGTTCAGCCACGGGGGTCAGCCCAACAGTGGGGCAGCTGGGCGGAGAGAATGCCTGGCTTTCCATAAGGCTCTGATTCTGGGAACTGCCAGCAAGCACCTGGGTTGGGAGTGGCTGAAGTTGAGCCTGATCTCTCAGGAGCTCCCTCAGGGTCTCCTCCGGCACGAGCAAGCCCTCCATGGGGCCCCCCGTCACCATACCCTGCAGAGAGGAAGAGGACGTGACTGGCCCCTCCTTGACCCCAGGGGCTGCTGTGGCCGTCCTGATGAAGGCAGTTATGACAGGCCCCTGGGGTCGAGAGCTAGGCCCTGCCCCTCCAACACCAGTGACCGGGGCTAGTGCCGGGTTGATTGGGCGGTTGGGGCCAGCTAAAAGTTGGGGGTGACCACTAAGAATCAGTGGGGGCCCTGACGCTGCCACCTGGCTCTCTTGAAAATTGGTGCTTAAGGGGAAGGAGGCCTGCAAAGTGAAAGTGTCCTTGCACGTTGAAGCAGATGGAATATTCTGGAGAAGCAGCTGGGCCGGGGCAGTTGTACTAGCAGGAGGCCCGTTTGTCAGCACCGTGGTCAGTGGGATGGTCTGCAGGGTCAAGGTCGAGCCTGATCCCACAGGGCCCACTTCTAGGTGGATGTTGCCGGGTACTGAAGATGAACTAAGAAGAAACAAAAAAGATGTAGTTACTTACGACAACAGACACATGCCGACTGGCAAAGGGGGTACCTGGGGAGTGAGGCTGAGGGTCCCGGTCTTTGTTGTTGGTTTATCCGCTGCTGTAGAGTCCGTTCCGAATTATGTCAACCCCGTGGGGGTTACCATCTTACAGGTGCAGAGCACCAAGCCTTTCTTGCGCAGCGCTGAGGGATGGGTTCAAACTATCAACGTCCAGGGTCGTAGTGGCTCAAAAACCATTGGCATCACTTGGGGACCTTCTGGCTCAGGCGAATGTTTATTGAGCACTGGAGCCAGGTCAGCGGCGGTTCTACCTGCTTTACACTCAGTGAAAAGCTTGCGCAATCCTACTGGCAGCCCACAATTGAATAAGATGAATAGTCTGATGACTTCACGGCCGGAGGCGACTGAGGTCCAGAGAGGTTGTGTGACTTGCCCGAGAGCATACAGCAAGGGCACACAGCCGTGTTCCTCATCTCCTCAGAAGAGGCAAATACACAGAAGCCCGGCCTTTCATGACTGATGTCACCACTCGGGAGCACCTTATGTGGACCAGAGGGAGCGAATTTTCCAGCTGGGCTTAGAGATCCTAAGGAGGCTGGGGTAGGGGGTAGGGGTGGAAGCTCCTGGTGGTGACAAGAGCAGCCGTAGCTGGTGCAGCCATAGCTGGTGGCAGAAGTCCCCCCAGGTCAAGGGCTCCGTGCATTGGGCCAACCACTGGTCTCTCTTAACCAACAAGGACCCAGCTAGCTTCACAGAGAAACTGTGAGGGTCGCAGGAGGCCAGAGACCACTGAGCTTTGTGGTAAGTTAAAGATGGACAGACCCCCTCCCCCGCACCCTAGCAGAGGCACTCTGAGCTGACTCTGGCTGCACCCTTACCTCGTGGCTTGGGGGAGCTGGCTCTCCAGTGGAGAGACAAGCACCGTGGAGGTAGTGGGTGTCTCGTCAGCAGACAGCCCCAATTCCAGGCTCGCCGATGGCTGCAGACCAACGTGCTGAATCTTTGGCTTCTCCCAAGAAAGGCTGCCCTTGCCCTGGGTGGAGACTCTGGATGAAACCCTGGAGCTGGCTCGGCGTGGGGTGGGCATGGAGGACGTGGAGGCCTGAGGGGTCCCGGCTGTGGCCTCATTGCCCTCGTCTTCATCTTCAATCACCACCAGGTCTTTGGGCATCTCCTTAAACTGGTACACCAGCCGCTGCCCTTCTACTTTGGCCAGGATGCCTCTTTGGTAGTAATATCTGGGGGACAAGATATGACCATGAGCTCAGGCCCAGCCTGTGAGCTCAGGATTAAGCAGGGAAGCCACCCCTACCCCTGGGTCTCCCTGACACGCCACCCCATGGACCAGGAAGGCAAGAGGCTGAAGTCACCATGGGAGCCCACCAGGAGGACGAGACAAGTCCCACTCTTAGAACTTGGAGGGCTTTTAGGAAATGAGGGAGATCCCCACCCCCCACCCCCAGGGACTCAAAGGATAATAATGATGTAAGGTGATTAAATGTCAAGTCCCATGTTGCTTTGTGGTAGAGGACGTGGGGGAGTGAGGGAGAGGAACATGAGTGAGGGACAGATGGCCAGGCCATCCCTCTAGTCAAAGAGACCCATTCAAGCCTATCCCCCTGCATGTCTGGCCAGAAATGTGCCTCCTGCTTAGAAAAGAGGCAAGGTGGGAGGGGGTGTCTCTAGTCTCTGGGAATACTCAGGGGGCAGCAGATGGCAGGATGGGAGCCCGTAGACGGGGCCCTCAGATGACTTGTCAGGAGAGATACTTGGGGCACACAGCAGCGCTTGGGAGGCGGTCCTACCTCAGGGCCCGTCCCATTGTCTCATAGTTCATGTCCGGTTTGTTTTTCTGCTTTCCCCACAGCTTGGACACAGCTTTGGAGTCTACCAGCTTGAAGATGCCCTTCTCTCGCTGGGTCCATTTGATGTATTTGGGACAGGTGTTTCTGTCTTGCAGAAGTGCCAGGAGGAACTCCCACAGGTAGATAGTGCTGCCTGCAGACAGGGAGGGCCATGAAGGGCAGCCCTGGGGGCCGAGGAAGCGCCCCCAGCCCACCCTGCTGCCAGCGCAGACATACCTTTGCCATCCTTGGATTTTTTCCGTATGGGTATGCTGGGGTCAGTGACAGGTGAAGTACTTCGGTTACCCTTGGTCTTCCGAGCTGTGAGAGGGAGGTGGGAGAACAGGGGGAAGCTGAGGGGGAGGGAGGGAGGACCCAGGAGCTCACCTGGTGGTGGTGGTGGGGACATGTGGACAAGAAGGGGGCAAGTGCAGGAGGTTGGGGGCTCAGAGGGAGTTAGGGTGTGGGGACCTGTGGTAGTGTGCCATGCTCGGCAAACTCGCTATGAAGCCGATCACCTGGTCTTTCTTCCGTGGAGGCCACTATGGGGTGGATTTGGGAACCGCCAGCCTCGTGGGGTTAGCAGCCCAGTGCCGAGCCCCTGCACCGCTGGGGCTCCTGTGGGCAGTGCATCTGCTGCTGCCTTGCAGTGGGGAAGTGGGAAGGCAGCCGAGAAGCGGGCCAGGAAACACCCAAAGTCCTCTCCCGAGTGTGACCTCAACCTCCAAAGGTCCGCACGGGGCCACATAACGCATCTTGGCCCATTTAGGAAGGGCTTACATCTAGGTGGGGTAAAGGGGGTGAGCACTCCCCAAAAGAAAGATGTGGCAGCCTGCTCCCTGTAAGGATGCAAGGTCTCGGGAAAATGGCATTTGGTCACTGCTGTGAACGGACTCAATGGCGGGCAGAGGGGGAGGGTGGGGTTAGGTAAATGGGGGATGGGGGCAAAGACTGGGGAAAATGGCCTGCCAGAGAGCTGCCCTCTTAATGTGCCCGGGCACCTCAACCCAGCCTTCCCTTGGGTCTCCCTGACCCCCACCCCCACCCCCTCAGTGACACACAGATGCACATGCGCACACACTCACCTCTCTTCTTGGACTTCGTCGTTTTCCTGGCACGCTCCTCCTCTGGGAGACGCCTCTCATGCTCCTCATCAACGTTCCTGTCCCCGTGCAGCAGGGCCTCAGGCGCCGAGACAGGAAACAGGTAGGCGGCAGCATCGTCAGTGTCCGGGAGCATTTCTGAGGTGCTGACTGCAGGGGGGAATGCCTAGCATGAGTGGGCCCCAGGGCGGGGTTGCCCCAGACCGAAAGCAGGGCTGTCCTGGGAGATGGGATGCTGTCCCTCAGAGACCCGGATGTGCAGAATCCACCCGAGGACGGTGACAGGGACATTCCCAGGTAAAGAGCCACCTTGATGGGGTCAGTCACTCCGTTTGAAACTCAAAGGGCTTTCAGAACTCAGTGACCCCAGAGTGCCTGGAACTGTTGGCACTCAGGAAAGACTTGGAAAACCCGGAAGGAGGCTGTGTGATGGAGTCAGGGCTTTCACCTTCTGGGCTTGCTTTCCCTGCTCGATCATGGTGCCTGCTGGACTGGGGGAAGAGGGTTCGGACAGGAGACACCCCTGTGGCTTTAGGACCTATGGCAGCAAGGTGGAGCCTTTAACCCCTCTCATTCTCTATGTAGCCGCCCAAAAATATGTCTATGTGGAAAGCCCAGCCAGGTGAGACTTCTGAACAGGACTCTGGGTGATCAGCCAAGGGCAAGGCAGGCACTGGGGCACCAACTCACAGATCTGCTTTTCATCCAGGATCTCGTTGGGAGATTCCACATTGAGCAAGACTTCAGTGGTGGATGTGGTGGGTGAGCTTGCTTCGTTGTCATCTGAAGGGGGAAGCGAGAAGAACAATCCCCTCAGGAGACGGGGCACGGGGCAGGGGTTAAGGAGCCACATAAGCAGAAGGTCCGTGGAGCAGTGCCAGCCCACCGTAACTCCCCTCTTTTTCTCCATGACTTCCCAGCTGGCCTCCATGCCTCATGGTCTCACTCCATCTCCTAAGACGGCCCCCTCCTTCAGCCTAGCCACACTTGCTCCCTACTTGCCCATGGTCGGCAGGGGGGGGGGGCACTGGTGCATGCTGCTTGGGCTATTAGCCCCTGAAGATGAAGCTCCCTTCTCCACCAGCCCTCCCCTGACACACCTGCCCCCCCAAAAAAACAAAAACAAAAACCTGCCTTCCAGCATCTGATTCTCCGTCATGCACAGGGTCTTGTCTTCGAGGATGCCATTGTGAACGTCATCCAAATCCAGGCCTGAGTATAAGTGCAGTAATTCGGGGTAGGGTACCTGCTCCACGATCACAGCTGGGAACACAGGGGGGTCTTCCACCTATGGATAAAATAGGGGTCTGGTTCAAGGCCCACCCACCTCTTTGAGGATGCCCACCTCCCCAGAGTCTGGGCCTTGATGCAATTCCTAACTCTTGAAAGCCGGATGGAGGAGCTGTCCTCTGTAGAAGACGATGCTGTCCTATGGACATCAGCACTAGTGACACTTTGCATGGGTTCTAAGTGGCTCAGAACAACCGAAAGTCAGCATCACACCGTTCTGGAGGTGAGATGTTCAACGTGAGTCTCGCTGGGCTAAAATCAAAGGGGTAGGAGGCATAAGGTTGCCTGCATTCCTTGGCTTGTGGCCCTTTTCTCCATATTCAAAGCCAGCAACACTGGGCTAAGTCCTTCTCATGCCACTGTCTCTCTTCAATTGTCCCTCACCTGTCTCCACCCTCCTTCCTTAACAGGACCCCAATGATGATACTGGGCCGGACAGGCTGCTATTCTCCCTAGTTTAAGGTCAACTGATGAGGGATCTTCAGTCCATCTGCAGCCTGTTGTCCCTTGTCAAGTGGCCTTATGTATTGCCTATTCCTGGGCTTCTGGAGATTAGCAAGTTCATATTGGGGGGGGGGGGGCGAAGGAGGAATTCTTCTGCCTACCAGTCTCCGCCTTGCTTCTGCCTACCAGTCTCCGCCTTGCTGACTGCCAGGTCTTTGTCCCTTGAAGCTTATTGTCAATTGCACTGGCTCCTTAAAAAGCATGTGTCATGTGAACATTATGATGAGTGAAAACAGCCAGTCCCCAAAGGGCAAAGACTCTATGATGTGGGGGACAACAGAAAAACCATCATAAAGACTTTCAGACCAAAGGGAACAACAGACTTTGGAGATGGCCAAGAGGGGAGGGGGAGGAGGGAAGATAGACTGTGGATGGGTGTTACCTTGGATGAAATGGAATTTCAGTGTTCATCAGAGGGAGAAGAGAGATCAAGGAGTGGGTGAAGGGTAAACGATGGGGTCGGGGTGGAGGTTCAGTAGTAGCTTAAAGTGTTGACTATAGAGTTGATGGTCTGAAATGTAGACACACTAGCTCATTTATAATAAAAATGTGTTCTTTTTTAATAAAAAATGTTTTTAAAAATCTGTGTCATCTTGATTAGGCCATGATTCTCAGTGGTTTGGCAGTTCTGCCAGGGTGTGATCATCCCCGTGAAATGATCTGATGTGATCAGGCAATCAATGATAAGGGGATTCGGATAGGATGTGACACCTTACTCCTGTCCCAGCCCGGGTCCGATGCCAGGGGAGTTTCCCTGGGGTGTGGCCTGCATCACCTTTTATCTATAAGAGATAAGAGGGGCGAGAGAGCGGAGAGTCAAGGGCTCCACTGCCAGCAAGACTCATAGAGACCCTAGTATTGTGGGTGAGTTGCTTCCTACTCACAGCGACCCTGTGCACAACAGAACACAACACTGCCCAGTCCTGTGCCATCGTCACACTTGCTAATATGTTTGAACCCATTGTTGCAGCCCCTGAGTCAGTCCATCTCATTGAAGGTCTATATGCAGCCCATTTCATTTTTGACGACTTCTAATTTTCCTAGATTCATGCTTTCCACATTCCTAATTCCAATCATTGATAGATGTTTATAGCCGTTTCTTCTCATTTTGAGTCATGCCCCATCAGCAAATGAAGGTCCAAAAGGCTTTACTCTGTCCATCATTGTGGTTGATTCTACTTTCAGAAGTCAGCTTTTCCTCCATCTTAGTTTGAGCACCTTCTGACCTAAGGGCCTCATCTGGTGGCACTATCTCTGACAATGTTCTGCTGGTCGTCATGAGCTGCTCAGCAGCTGCAAAGGCCCCGCCGCAATCCGGAAGGTTTTTAGTGGCTCATTCCTGGGAGCAAACAGTCTGTGCCTTCTTCATTATCTGCTCTTGGTCTGGATGTTCCACTGACACCTGATCACTTTGGTGAATGTTTGACATACCAGTGACATAGCTTCTAGCATCTCAGGAACACACAGGCCCCCACAGTATGCCAAACTGACAGACCAGTGGTGGAGTGACCCTACAGGGCAGAATATAACTGCTGCTTTGGTTTTCCAAGACCAATTCTTTACGGGAGTCAACAACCTCATTTTTCTCCCATTGAGCAGCTGGTGGTTTTGAACTGCTGACCTTGCGGTTAGCAGCCCAATGTGTAACCCACTGTGCAACCAGGGTTCCTCTTAGGAGTGCCACCAGCTCTCCTTATATCAATTACTGTTAGGATAACTGGTAGCGTGTTTGTTTTCCGAACTGTATACAGCCTGATCCTGACATAAAAGCTTGTAAACAATTCTCCCCTTTTCTTGAATGTCAGTATTTATGAACCAGCCAGTTTACTGAATTGGGGTTACCAGACATACTAGCATATTATCAAGAAAGGAAAGGAATTTTCACTCCTATGTTCAACCCTTTCATTTGGTTTTACAGAATCAAGTTCCAGCACCAGGCAGGGGCCTGTTCTTGGCATTGGCCTTGGTACACACGCCCCAGATGTTGGCATGGGTTCTTGATGAACAGAAATGGGTTGGCCCTGCACCCTCTGAACCACCCCCCAAGGGCAGGCATTTTTCCTAGTTTGTAGGTATGCTTCATCTGTGACCAGGGTCAGAGCTATGAGAAGGGTCAGGTTCGTGCCGAGAGAGCGGGGTGGGGTAGAGGGGGAACGAATTTGTCCATGGCAACTGTGAGGCCTAAGCCTTTAGTCTGGGTAGGGGCCCGGGTTCACGGTCAGGTTTAAGGGCTCCGAGTGTGGACAGCGTGGGGCTAAGTGTGTGGCAATACCAGTGGCAATGGAGCTGGAAGAAGAGAGGCATTCTGAGGACAGAAAGGCAGGGGTGCAGTCCCAGTCTAGCAGGGGAGGGGGTTGGGCTTCCTGTTGGAGTCAATGGAGGCGGGGGACGTAATGGGGATACAGTTTATATGGGTGGTAGAAGAGCAGCTGTTGGTGGTGGCTTTGTTTGTGTTGTGGGGTGATTTGGGAGACCCCCGTGGGTTACAGAGAAGAACTGCTCCATAGGGTTAAAACAAAACAAAACAAGTGTGTTGCCTTTGAGTGATTCTCATAGTGACCTTATGGCACAAAGTAGAAAGGCCTCCACAGAGGTTCCAAGGCTGCCAATCTTTACAGATTTCAAGGGCCCCATCTTTCTCCCGTCGATCAGTGGCTAGGTTTGAACGGATGACCTTTTTAGTTAGCAGCCAAGCACTTCCCCAAAGCACCACCAGTCCTCCTCCACCCTGAGCTGACAGAGCTATAGCGTTACAGATGTGGTGCTGAGGGCTATGTTTGAACTACCAACCTTTCTGACTCCTATGACAGGGTGGAACTGCCTCTGTGGGTTTCCGAGGCTATAACTTTTTATAGGAGCAGAAATCTTCCGCTTTCGCCTTCACAGTGACAGGTGGGTTTGTACCTCCAATCTTGTGGATAGCAACCTGGGTTTCTGGTTGAGTATAAGCATCAAACTCCCTGCCAATGAGCCAATTCCAACTCATAGCAACCCTATAGGACAGGGTAGAAGTGCCCATGGGAGTTTCTCAGACTGTAACTCTATGGGAGTAAAAAGCCTCATCCTTTTTTCTGAGCAGTGGCTGGTGGTTTCGAACTAATGCCTTTGCAGTTAGCAGCCCTGCATGTCACCACTATGACAGCAGGGCTCCTGGAAGTACCTTTTGGGTGTCTGAATTGGAGACACCTGATGATGGCACCAAAAGCACATGTCTGCGAGAGCTCACAAGGGAAGTGGTGGCCACTGAGAGCCCTCGGAGGGTCTAGAATTATGCAGGTGAGGTTCCGGCCCCAGGAGAACATAATTGTCTGATCATTAAACAGCCATTAGTTGCTGTCTAATCATAGCAACCCGATGGGTGCTCCACCGGGTTTCGATGGCTGAAGCATCTTGAGTAGATCACCAGGCCTTTCTTCCTGGGTGTCGCAAGGTGGACTCCAACTGTCAGTCTTTCAATTAGCAGCCGAAAGCATTGACCCTTTGCACCCCCCAGGGAAACTAAGCTAAGCAGAGTGAAAAAGGAGTGTAATGACAATGGGGAAAATATATATAGGAAAGGAACTGTCCTAGAATGTTCATAATAGTTATATTTTGGTTCTGGGATACTGGGTAATCCCCCCCCCCCGCCCCATCCCTTTCCCCACTTTTCTGTATTTCCCAGAAACCTCATGAGAATGTTAGTTCTTCATGAAAAAAAGAAACAGCATGGTCACCCAGACTCACAACAGACAATGCTCTGTGCCTTCAGGGTTCGCAGAGGCTGCATTTTTAGAAGTAGATTGCCAGGGCTTTCTTCTGAGGTGCCTCTGGGTGAACTTGACCCTGCAAGCTTTCGGTTAACAGCCAGAGCATATAAACCCAGGGACTCTTCAAGGTCAATTCATTTGAAAAAAATGGGCTTTTCATTAAAAAGTCCGTTCTTTCATTGCTCTAGCCACATTATCCAGGCATCATAGTTAGCTGTGGCCAGGCCCTCCAAGCGTTCCACTGGGCTGTGCTGATCTGGAAACTGACTACCTTGGTTTGAAGCCAGGCTTGGGTACTTACTACCTCTGTGACCTTAAGCAAGTTATTGACCTCTCTGGGTATTTCCGTTTCATTTACTGAATTGGGGTGATCATAGTCTCTACCCCATAAACCCCAAATCCCACTGTCAATGAGCTGATCCCAACCAAAAGCAACCCTATATAGGATTGTCACAACTGGACATCTTTACGGGAGTAAACAATGTCATCTTTCTCCTGAGAAGTGGCTGTTGGTTTTGAACTGCTCACCTTGCAGTTAGTGGCCCAACACGTAACCCCCAACACCATCAGGGCTACCCGATAAGCAAAGCACAACCAACTCACTGCCACTGAGTTGATTCCAACTCCTAGAAACCCTATCAGACAGGGTAGAATTGATCCTGTGGGGTTCTGAGACTAACTTCTTACGGGAGCAGGATGCCTCATCTTTTTCCCGTGGAGTGGCTGGTGGTTTCGAATTGCCATTTTCCAAAGGGTTTCCGAAATGGCTCCATCGATACACATAAAGTACATAGAACAGGACTCAGCAGATAGAAAGTGCTCATTAAGTGTTCGGGATCCAGGGACTTCTAAGAGATTGGTAATGTTTTCTTTCTGGAACTCCCAGATTGCTGTGCTCTGGTTCTCAGGAAGTACTTTCACAGTAAAGATGGTTTCCTACAAAGGGTGACAGAAAGATGAGAAGGAAACAGGGTAGAGGCTATGATGGGGGCTAAGAAGGTGGGGTTTTGAAACGAGGAGGCAAGAGGGAGCAAACGTTTTCTCCAGGGATCGGAGTGACCTGAAGACGTTCTAGATTGGAAGGAAAGATCTTAGAAAAGCCTGAAGATGAGCGAGACAGACAGAGAGAGTTACTGAGGGCTTGAAGGAGGCAGGGAAGACAGGGGATGGACAAGGTGGGGGAGTCACTCTGGGAAGGAAGAGGCCATCCACACGGGCGATGTGGCAGAGAAGATAAGAGAGAGACAGGAGGGGAATTGGGCTGCGTTTCTCCACAGACTGGCCTCGAGGCAGAGAGGCCCGAATGGTCTCCATGCAAACCCATAGGTGCCGCCAAGCAGCCGAGGATCGCTATGGCCTTTCAGAAGCAGATCGCCAGACCTGTTTTCTGAGTCGCTTCTGTGTGAGTTGGAAGGCAACCTTTGGGCTGGTAGTTGAGCACCTAACCATCTGTGCCACTCTGCCACTCTCCGCTGAGCACACTAGGAACGAGTCAAAAATGACAAAGGAGCATCGGAGAGCCCAGGAAAATCAGACTTTGAGCAATGTCTTTCACAAAGCACACCCACCCTGGAAACCACGTCAGCAGGTGGATTGTGAGGCACGGCGAACCCATGCCCAACACCCAAGGCTGTCAATAATTACGGGAGCAGGCAACCTCATGGTTCTCCCTCAGAGTGGCTGGTGGGTTTGAATTGCCAATCTTTCAGTCGGTCTACCAGAGGTATGTAACGCTATTGCTCCACTACCACAGTTAAGAGGACATTAAACCCAATTTACTGCCGTGGAGTCAATTCTGACTTATGGAGACCCTACAGGACAGAGTTGAACTGCCCCTGTGGTTTTCTGAGGCTGCAATTCCTTACAGGAGTAGAAAGCCTCATCTTTCTCCTGTGGAGCAGATGGTGGTTTTGAACTGGGGACCCAGCAGATCGCAGCCCAATGAGTAATCACTGTGCCACAAGGCTCCTACAGTTAAGAAAGCTGGATGCAAAGAAAAGAGGAGGAGAGGAGAGGGAAGGGGAGAGAAAGCCAGGGAAGGGAGGGGAGGAGAGGGGAGAGAAGGGAAGGGAAAGAAAAGGAGGACTTGGATAGAAAATGCACACAAGGTAGTGCATTGTAGCCGAGAGGAATTACTGAGAGCTGAATTAAAGTCGAACGTGATAGAGGGACAGGAGGAAAGTAAAAAGAACTAGAGGAAAGAACTAGAAGGCAAAAGACATCTCTAGAGATATAGATACAGGCATGTACAGATGTAAATGATAGGGATATAGGTCTATGGACCTATGTTTATATGTTAAGTATCAAGGTAGCAGACAGACATTGGACCTCTACTCAAGTCCTCCCTCAATGCAAGAACATTTTGTTCTAATAACCTGGCATTCTGTGATGCTCACCTTCCCAACTCGATCACTGAAGTAAAAATGGGTGCATAAGCAAATGTGGTGAGGAAAGCTGATGGTGCCCAGCTATCAGAAGATACAGCACCTGGGGTCTTAAAGGCTTGAAGATAAACAAGCGGCCATCTAGCTGGGAAGCAAGAAAGCCCACATGGAAGAAGCACACCAGCCTGTGTGATCACGGGATGTCGACAGCATCAGGTATCAGGAATCAGAAGACCCAAAACAATCATATTGATGCGAACGGGGGGAGGGTGGAGTGAAGACCCAAAGCCCACCTGTAGACAATTGGACATTACCTCACAGAAGGGTCACAATGGATGAGTGGATTGTTATAAGAGCAATAAGAGCCCCCAATAAAATGATTTATAAAAATGTCAAATAAAAAATAAATAAAATGCACACAATGTGCTGAAATCTCCACTAGGGGGCAGCCTTTGGCAGGCCACTGGAGACTGGACATGGTTATTCACCCTCCCAGGGATTTAGGATACAGCATATAGTTAGGCTATAATGCCCCTTCCAAAAGACAAAAACAAAACAGAACCACCCCCACCCCCCCAAACCCCAAACAAACCAAACCTGTTGCCATTGAATCTACTCCAATTCACAGTGTCCTATAGGACAGAGTGGGACTGTCCTATGGGGTTTCCATGGCTTTCCAGGAACAGACTGTCACGTCTTCCTCCCATGGAGCAACGTGTAGGTTTGTACCACTGACCTTTTGGATAGCAGCTGAGTGCCCAACCACTGCGCCACCAGGGCTCCCAGAGGTGGGTAATCCAGCAGGTTCGCCTCTCTGTGAAGAGAGGGTTTTGATAGCCCAGAGACAGTAGGGGCAGGACTTGTCTAGGTGACCCTGTGGCCCAGAGTCCTCATCTTTCATGCCTTCTTTCTCCATTGTGTGGAACGAGTGGAGGCTGGCATCATGTAGGCCAGGGCACCATCCAACAGGTACAGGTGCGTGCCCAGCAAACGTGCCCTCTTGACCCCCGGCGCAGGGCTGGGAATGAAGCAGTAGGGCAGTGATCGCCAGAGTCCGGTCCACGGTCTCGACTCCCTCCCACCTTTCCAGTTTGTTCCTGGATCCTCAGGTTGTGAGGGCCAACAAGAGAGTCACGTGAAGGGCCAACAGCAGGGCTAGGGACACATGTCTAAAGACTCCAGGCAGTGGACTCTACCCTGAACTTCTTGCCAGCCGGCCTGTGCTCATCCCAAGAGCTTTCTCACTGTGACTCAGGGGTGGAGGGGTGTGGCTCCGAGATCAGCTAGTTGTCACTCAGTCCACGCTGCTGACGGACCAACAGCTCAGCTGTTTAGCTGGCTTGGTGGCTGCACGTGGCACATAATCGCCCACAGACAACTAGTTCCTTAAGGACTGCCTGTGCCCCATGAGTGACCGGCTGGCACACGGTCTGGTTGGCAAGAGGGCACAGTGCTTTAAGCACAGTAGGTGCCTGGGCACTCTTTGCCAGCTGGATCCCTGGCTGGCCGCCCTAGCTCCCTGTGTCGAGCTCAGGATCCATGCTAGCTGGCTGGGCCTGGGGCTATGGGCCGTACCTGGTGAGTGTCATCCATCCCGTTACTTGCAAACTCAAAGATCAAGTCACTGGTCTGCAGGGTAACGGCCATGCTGCCTTCCTGGGGAGCTGACGATGGAGTCTGCAGGCCCCTCTGGAGCAACCGGGGTTCTTGAGTGAGATGGAGGCTTCTGGAATCAGAGTGGACTAAGTCCAGCTCAGGAACAACCTAGGGAAAGAGAGATGGGGGCTGTGAGAACATTGCCTTCTGGGACCTTCTAGAACCATCTAGGACAGCTGGTGAACCAGAGAGATCTGGATGTGCCAGGACAGGACAGGCTGCCAGAAGAGAAGAGGCAGAAAGGGAGGACCGGGTGGTGGTGGTGGTGGTGGTAAGGAAGCAGGTGAAGAACTGGGGAAAAGGAGTCAGCTCCGCACCTTCAGTGGCCACCGGCCTGAAGACACACATTCTCCCATGAGCTCCCTCCCAGTTCCCCCCTCCCCGCCAGAGAAGGTAACGAATAGTGTCCCCAGCACTAGCTCCAGGGTCCAGCCACGGAGGCTCGGCTCATAGACAGGCAGGAGGCAGCTCTGGGCTTAGGAAAGAACCTTGTGTGAGGGGTTATGGTGGGACCAGACTCCCTTTGAGAGGTGGAGCTTGCAGTGGAGGAAATGTCTCACCATGGGGGTTGTGTTGTGTCAGGGGCAGGGGTGGCAGGAGCCAGAGGGCCTGGGGAGAGAGGGACGGATCGGCTAGAGGTATTGCCCCCAATGCCAGGGGAGATGGCCTTGGGTGCTGTGTGTGGTTTGAGTTCTTGGTTCAGCTTTGCTTTCAGTTTCAAGATTGAAACTGTCATCCTGGGACCCAACAAGCAAAGAGAGGCTGCTGGAACTGTCCCTGTCCTCATGCCCCCAGGGCTGACTCAGCCCCACCTCTCACCCCAATCTGTCTGCTGCAGCCCCCCCCCCCCAGCCCCCACACCTCCACCCCAGTCTGTGCCTCAGATGCTCATTCAGGCCTCCTGTGGCTTTCTGGGTCTCCACCCCTCAGGACTGCAACCCTGCTAGCACTCTTTCAGGTGGTCCTTCTCTGGGTGGCCGGCTCTGCCCCTCCTGCCCTCAACGGGCCCTTCTCCACAACTAGGTATCAGTCTTAGCTCCTGTTATGTGGTTAGCTGCCAGCCCACCCCCACCTCCTGCCCTTGCACATGGCCAACCCCCTGTACCCTGGCACATATCTGCCTGGTCCTGCTTCATCCCCACGACCAATCAAATTCAGGTGTGATCTGTAGGATTTCTCTGGACTAATTTTGAGTGCAGAGCACCAGGCCTTTCTTCCTAGTCTATATTACTCTGGACACTGCTGAAACCTGTTCAGCATCATCGCCACACTCGTCCCCACCGAGTGCACTGCTTAGAAACTGAGGCTGCGTCTCAGGCTGTGAAGGTGAGAATTTTACCACTGAACCCCACTTTGGCCCTTGGGGGTGCTGCTGTGTGTGGGGGGAGGCACGCGTGTTGTTCTACTAACAGCGCACTTTAATCAGCAACATCTGAAGAACCAGCTCCACGTCCATGGTAGGAGCAGCCCACTTGACCTCTACTTCCTTGGCACACCCCGGGCAGTGCCAGGATGGCAACAAACCTCCTGGTCTGGAAAGAAATGAGGAACCGCAGAGAGGGGGGGAGAGAGAGGGAGGGAGGGGACCAAGGGTGACCTCCCCGATGACCGCTTTCCCCCACTAGAGACACCCAGGCCTCTCTCACTTCCTTTCCGTTAGGCCACAGGGCTGGCTCCACCCTCTCCCCACCCCTACCCCACTCCCACACCTTTCCCCTCCCCCGACAACAAACCTCCATGAGACCCTACTTCTCCGTGTTTCAGTGGGAGATCCAGAGCCCTGCTACTAGGTGACCTCCCTGCACCCAGCCACCCTCCCCCAGTGACCTGATCCCTGTGGTCCTGGAAGCATTCCAGGGTCATTTCTGCTTGGCAGGTCTGTCTCCAAGCCCAGCATTCTGCAGCGCTCCCCTCCCCCCCACGGCTCCCCCTGAACGGCCAGTCTGTGCAGGGCGCCCCCCCACCCCAGCATTCATAGACTACGCGAGTGAAAGGGGATCGCTTTTCCCTAATCCCATGCCCTAATCACGAAAGCCAATGTCTGCTCCCCTTGCACCCGAGGTCATTCCGCCAGCCAGGCTCTCCTCTCCAGCTTCCCTCTGCCGGGCCTGCTCAGCGCAGATCCACACGGGTATTTCAAGTTCGCGAGATCTCCAGCTGCCGCCCGCCACTGCTGGGAAGGTCCCCGCCCCTCCCCCAGCAGACAGCGGCTTCCTGGAGGGCAGGACAGCTGTGCGCAGGCACCCCAGTGCCTCGCCCGCCCTCGGCCTGACTGCTGGGAGAGCCCGGTGACTGGGGCAGTGAGCGCACCTGCGTGGCCCCCCGGGGTGCCCGGTGGGCTCCTGCGTCCCACGGCTGCCCGTGGTTCCCGGGTGCCGTAGAATCACTTGGGGGCTCACAGGGACCCTACAGGACACCGCAGCACTGCGCCTAGGCTCTCCGAGGAGGCTGTCACTCTTGACGGGTGCAGGCGGCCGCCTCGCCTTTCTCCCGCAGAGCCATCGGTGGGTTTGAACGACCAATCTTCCCACTCGCAGCAGAGTGCTTAACCCTTCCACTCCAGGGCGCCTGGAAGGTGCTTTAGGGCTGTACACGGGTGCTTTGCTGGCTACCCGGAGGAACACGCGTGAGCGGGCCTCGGTGTGTCAAAGGGCGCCTCTGAGCTGGGAGCGAGGTTCTTCCTCCTCCCCTCTGAGCCGCTGCTGCTGCTGCCGCTGCCACCCGCTGCT